CAATGACTTTCCTAATCCGCACAATCTTTATAATTTAACCAAGAACGTGGCCTTCAACCAAACTTAACTGATCTTTTAAAATACCTACAGTCCAACATAACTGACAATGACTTTCCTAATGCGCACAATCTTTATAATTTAACCAAGAACGTCGCCTTCAACCAAAATTAACTGATCTTTTAAAATACCTACAGTCCAAGATAGCTGACAATGACTTTTCTAATGCGCACAATCTTTATAATTTAACCAAGAACGTGGCCTTCAACCAAACTTAACTGATCTTTTAAAATACCTACATTCCCAGATAACTGACAATGACTTTCCTAATGCACACAATCTTTATAATTTAACCAAGAACGTGGCCTTCAACCAAACTTAACTGATCTTTTAAAATACCTACATTCCCAAGATAGCTGACAATGACTTTCCTAATGCGCACAATCTTTTTAATTTAACCAAGAACGTCGCCTTCAACCAAAATTAACTGATCTTTTAAAATACCTACAGACCCAAGATAACTGACAATGACTTTCCTAATGCGCACAATCTTTTTAATTTAACCAAGAACGTGGCCTTCAACCAAATCTTTTAACTGATAACTGACAATCTTTTTTAAACGTGGCCTTCCAACCCTTTTTAAAATACAGTCCAAGATAGCTGACAATGACTTTCCTAATCCGCACAATCTTTATAATTTAACCAAGAACGTGGCCTTCAACCAAACTTAACTGATCTTTTAAAATACCTACAGTCCAACATAACTGACAATGACTTTCCTAATGCGCACAATCTTTATAATTTAACCAAGAACGTCGCCTTCAACCAAAATTAACTGATCTTTTAAAATACCTACAGTCCAAGATAGCTGACAATGACTTTTCTAATGCGCACAATCTTTATAATTTAACCAAGAACGTGGCCTTCAACCAAACTTAACTGATCTTTTAAAATACCTACAGTCCAACATAACTGACAATGACTTTCCTAATGCACACAATCTTTATAATTTAACCAAGAACGTGGCCTTCAACCAAACATAACTGATCTTTTAAAATACCTACATTCCCAGATAGCTGACAATGACTTTCCTAATGCGCACAATCTTTATAATTTAACCAAGAACGTCGCCTTCAACCAAACTTAACTGATCTTTTAAAATACCTACAGACCAAGATAGCTGACAATGACTTTCCTCATGCGCACAATCTTTTTAATTTAACCAACAACGTGGCCTTCAACCAAATTAACTGATCTTTTAAAATACCTACCGTCCAAGATAGCTGACAATGACTTTCCTAATGCGCACAATCTTTATAATTTAACCAAGAACGTCGCCTTCAACCAAACTTAACTGATCTTTTAAAATACCTACAGTCCAAGATAGCTGACAATGACTTTCCTAATGCGCACAATCTTTATAATTTAACCAAGAACGTGGCCTTCAACCAAACTTAACTGATCTTTTTAAAATACCTACAGTCCAAGATAGCTGACAATGACTTTCCTCATGCGCACAATCTTTATAATTTAACCAAGAACGTGGCCTTCAACCAAACTTAACTGATCTTTTAAAATACCTACAGTCCAAGATAGCTGACAATGACTTTCCTAATGCGCACAATTTTTATAATTTAACCAAGAACGTGGCCTTCAACCAAACTTAACTGATTTTTTAAAATACCTACAGTCCAAGATAACTGACAATGACTTTCCTAATGCGCACAATCTTTATAATTTAACCAAGAACGTGGCCTTCAACCAAACTTAACTGATCTTTTAAAATACCTACCGTCCAAGATAGCTGACAATGACTTTCCTAATGCGCACAATCTTTATAATTTAACCAAGAACGTCGCCTTCAACCAAACTTAACTGATCTTTTAAAATACCTACAGTCCAAGATAGCTGACAATGACTTTCCTAATGCGCACAATCTTTATAATTTAACCAAGAACGTGGCCTTCAACCAAACTTAACTGATCTTTTAAAATACCTACAGTCCAAGATAGCTGACAATGACTTTCCTCATGCGCACAATCTTTATAATTTAACCAAGAACGTGGCCTTCAACCAAACTTAACTGATCTTTTAAAATACCTACAGTCCAAGATAGCTGACAATGACTTTCCTCATGCGCACATTCTTTATAATTTAACCAAGAACGTGGCCTTCAACCAAACTTAACTGATCTTTTAAAATACCTACAGTCCAAGATAACTGACAATGACTTTCCTAATACGCACAATCTTCACGAAAAACCTATTAAGTTGTACTGTTGACGAACGTAGCTAATGTTTTCATTTGCATGCATTAATTTAGCTGCATTATCGCTAGGACAACGTTACTGAAGGCCATTATTTCGCTGATGTACATCTGAATTCTTAATTCGTTCCGCTCGTCTTGCTTAACTTTCCTTATTAAGACCTTCATTGTCTTCCCGTCTGTCGGCCGAATAATTTATTTATCTGTTCTTATTTTTTTTTATTCGTCTCACATGCAGTATTATTTAACGCCAAGTTCGGGAGCTCTTATGCAAACAGCGATTCTTTCTATATCTCATTACTGTATACATTTCTATTGTTGGAAGCGCGTCGGTGGGTGGGGCCGGGCGTTTTCAGGGAGAGATTGTCACGGACGGTTCATTCCTCTTTTCGTTCACTCACCCGATAACTTCTGGGGTTGAAGCCCGTTACTTACTCAGGATAACAAGGGCAATGCGCCTTGTCAGGGTCGGTAGGGAGCCCTATACTTGTGCTCAGAAGAAACAGTTAGCCCTGCTGAGTCACTTAACAGAAAAGAAAAGCCCGGCGGGTCGCTGTTCTTAGCAAAACAGTCGCGGAGCAACGGACAGGCTAGAAAAACACGTTCACACATTCTCGCTTCTTCGACAATATGGTTCTTGAGTGCCGGCTCTCTGCACAACTCTGCCTCGCTTGTAAATATTTCAGTTGCTATTTGATTATTTTACTCAGGGCTAGAATGAGCGCCGAGTGTTTTCAGAAACGTCTGCTTTGCTGATGGCTTCCTTTCTTTTTTATCTGGTGTTATGTAACTTCTGTCTGTAGCAATAAATAAAAATACAGTTACATTTGACTCAATAGGCAGGTAGAACCAAAAAACAAAACACGCCAACAAGACCAAATTGTCATGTAATCTTCAAATTGACATTTAGAATGTAGCGTTTGATTGGCACTGTCAGTCTTTGACAACGGAAGTGGAAAGTTAACACCTGGATAAGTTAATTATAAGAGATCAGTTTGTTAAACCGTTTCTGATAATTCCAAGAAAGGTTGGATATCGTGATTTTATTCTTTCTAAGATTTTGAGTTAAAGACATTCAAGTAGCTGCCATGATTCGAAGTTTTCCTCTTTCTTTTAATCTTTCGTTCTTAATCTTTTCTTCTTTCTTAATCTTTTCTTTTAATCTTTTAATCATTTTCTTCTTTCTTAATCTTTTCTATTAATCGTTTTTTTCTTTCTTGAATCTTTCTTTTAATCCTTTCTTATCTCATAATCTTTTCTTCTTTCTTAATCTTTTCATTTAATCTTTTAATCTTTCAATCTTTCTTTCTTTCTTTTTTTAGTTTTTCTTTTAATCTTTTGTTCTTTGCTTCTTTCTTAATCTTTTCTTTTTTCTTCATCATTTCTTTTAATCTTTTAATCTTTTCTTCTTTTTTAATACTTTCTTCCTTCTTCATTTTTTCTTTGAATCTTTCGTTTTTTCCTAATCTTTTCCTTTAATCTTTTGCTGTTTTCTTAATCTTTTCATTTAATCTTTTACTCTTTTATTCTTTCTTAATCGTTTCTTTTAATCGTTTCTTTTTTCTTAATCTTTTCTTCTGTCTTAATCTTTTCCTTCAATCTTTTAATCTTTCTTTCTTTCTTTCTTTCTTTCTTTCTTTCTTTCTTAGTCTTTTCTTTTAATCTTTTGTTCTTTACTTCTTTCTTAATCTTTTCTTTTAATCTTTTAATCTTTCTTCTAATGCTTTCACAAATAAACATTTCAACAATTCTTTGAAGTATTTATCTGTTTTTGATTAATTAAGATGGATCAGTAATTATAAGAACTGTGCTTTTCATTTGGGTAATTGTAACGCTAAAATGAACCGTTTCTATTCAGTAAACTTTAAGTATTGGTTCACTTAATCGTTAACGTTACTTTCTGTTGAAATTTTTAAAAATATTCTCTTAAAAGTAATTTTTCCTCGAATAATAGTCTTCTCAAATCCACTAAACGTTTTTCTAGTTATTGCCTTTTATAATTTCATTTTGGTTCAAGATAGTATAAAATGTTTAACATATTGATTATATGATTATTTTCCCTTTTGTGCTATGTATTTTAGTTGTTGCCGTTATTGGAAGTCTCCAGGTGTTTTTTTTTTTTTTTTTTTAAGTAAAGCACTTTGTTTGTGATACTGTATTGCCTGTCTGGCACGTATAGTCGTTTTTAAGACCTAAATGATTTATTCGTTTAAAGACATTTTTTTTTTTTACTAATATTCTTATTTTTTTAAAACATTCCTTGCAGGGTTGAATTATTGATGTCACTGTAAGAATCATATCTTTGAAACATTGGCGAAAACATTCTTTACTTTTCACGGCGGGTCATATGATGCTTAGCTTAATTAAATTCATTCATGAAAATCACTTTTCATTGTACTGGCAGATGTCATAAAAACACGCATGAAAGAAATAAGACGCTGAGCTGTAACGACTTATAGATAAAACCCTATAATTAAGACTGAATTTTACAGTGTTTAATGGTGCATTAATAGGTTACAGATTGAAGGAAATAGGTAACATTTTCAACACCTTAAGCTATTTTAATATATAGATAAAAAAAAAACATGAGACTCAGACACAAAAAAATAACGATTTGCGCAGCGTATGGAGAAGGTTTTGTACATATCCCAGCATGTCAAAAGTGGTTTGCGGAGTCTTTCTGTTGGAGATTTCTGGTTAACTCGAGTAGATAGTTGATGTTAAAACTAATTAAATCAATATATTGTTTGAGAATAATCAACGACGTCCAAAACAAACAGCGATGATCAAAATATCTGAATAAACTGTTAAAAAATTGGCCAAGTTTGATATCTATACCAGCAAAAAATGGCGTGTCAAAAGAAAGTTTTTTTTTCTCTTGGTACTGCTATTACTGTATACTCGTTCGACATTTTTTATTGATTTAAAATTGTAATTTAGAATTCTAATATAAAGCAAAAACCATATATACTCCCATATCATGGGACATTTTAGGACCTAATTTTGAAGTGGGTTGCATTATACACAAGATATAAAATTACTGTATGTACTACTGACTCTGGCTATGCCATTGACCAAACTATATATCCATTTACAATAGTAAAAATGTACAACTGTATTTAAAATTAAACCTGATTTTGATAAAAACTGATGGTTTACTTAACTGTATCCAATAATAATGCATATAATATTCACATATTAGTATCGTATTATAAAATACAAACATGGCGAATATACATCTTTTCCATTGTTTACGTTTATAAGATGTTTAGTTGTTTTATGTACGGTTGTTTATGGCTGTACGCGTTTACACAACGAGTATAGCGTTACTAACGATACTTTTATCCTTCTCTTTTACTTTTTTGATTTATTTAACTTGAAGATGGGATAAAGAGATAGAGGAAAAGGGGTTAGTCTATTGTAATTTGGTCTCTCAAAAAAGGAACTCGCATGATACACGAGATACATAATAAAATCATTGTTTATAAGTGAACATTTGAGGAGCGAACAACTATATGAAACTGGATTTACGCATTGTGCTTTTTTTTCTTGAGAAATGATGACAAAAGAAGTAAACAGTATTTGGTTTATTAGATTCTTTATACACAAGAATAATTTTTATATTTAATTTTTTTTTTTAAATATATGAACCAACTACGATACAATGTTTATAATTGCCAATATTATAAAGAAATAATTATGAAAACAATTGTTTTATTCATACATTTATAATAAATTCTTTTTAACAAACAGACAAGAAAATTTAAATAAATACATAACGACAAGAAACTGCAAAGTAAGACATATGAACAGACTGAGATAGATAGATAGATAGATAGATAGATAGATAGATAGATATTAACAGATTGAGATAGATAGATAGATAGATAGATATGAACAGACTGAGATAGATAGATATGAACAGACTGAGATAGATAGGAACAGACTGAGATAGAGTAGATCGATAGATAGATAGATAGATACGAACATATTGAGCTAGATAGATACGAACAGACTGATATATATATATATATATATATATATATATATATATATATATATATCAGACTGAGATAGATAGATAGAGAGAGAGAGAAAGATCTTAATCTAAATGTTTGTCATAAATTTTTCCTCTGAAATACAATGTCACCTTATATATATATATATATATATATATATATATATATATATATATATATATATATAAACGAAACCAAATCAATCCGTTAGTTATTGATGACAGTCTCTAACAATCAATGGCGACGATATGGTTAGCGATATTCGATTCTCTATTAGGGAAACCAAATGTAACCAATATCTCGATGCGGCCTTGTCATGCAAGGGTTAAATCATTGGGTCTTTGGAATCGGTGCCTCCTGTGCTCTAGGATCAGAAGCTTTTTTGACATATTTATGACGTATCACATTTATATCCTCTCTTACACGAGCTTGAAATTAACTGAAATCTTTTCTCAGCACCCTAAAGCTTCCGCTAATATATTTTATTTTGTGTTTTGGCGCACATTTCAAAGCTCCGGACAGGAAGTTTCACTCACACCTACCGGAAGCCAACCGTGTCGCCATTGTTGTTTCCGTTTCTGATTAGTTCTCGGATTTTTTTTTTTTTCGAGAATAAATTACGGATGTCCCTTTGTTGTTGTTTTCCAAGTTTGTTTCTTCTTCTTCTTCTTCTTCTTCTTCTTCTTCTTCTTCTTCTTCTTCTTCTTATAATTATTATTATTATTATTATTATTCTATATGCTTTGTCCTTTCAGCTCGTTTACGTTCATGGCTCCCCACAACTTCCTATCCCTTGTAGCTCTTAATAAGTTCTGCCAAACCCTCCCCTGTCACCTATTTACTCAATTTCGCCAGGCTATTTCCGCGTTGTTTTTCTCCTTCCTTCTTGCCTTCGATCTGTCCTGTGTGTATCAAATTTTCCAAGCTTTCTTTTGTTTCGTTTGGTTTCGTTTGTTTTGCGGCATATGAACCTCAATGGGTCATTTAAAGCCGACAAACGTTTCATTGTTGGTAATATTTTTTTCCAAAAAACTATTTCTAGTAATATTCCTTCCTTCAAAAAATCCATTTCTGGTGATATTTTTTCCTTCAAAAATGTATTTCTGGTAATAATTTTCCTTCACTGGTAATATCTTTTTAAATGTATAGCTGGTAATATTTTCTATTTTTTTCTTTTTAAAATGTATTGCTGGTAACATTTGTTTTTCAAAAATGTATAGCTAGTATTTTTTTTAAAATGTATCGCTGGTAATATCTTTTTTTTCAAAAGTGTATTACTGGTAATAATTTTTTTTACAAAGTATTACCGGTATTAAAAGCTATTTTTACACTTTCATATTGTTTTGACAGTAGTTTGGGGGTTAACAATAAGCCCATAGCTGGGACCCTAACAGGTGCTACCACCCCGGGTCAGGGTGGACCTGGGAACATCAGCAATTAAGAATTGGTTCCACGCTCCTGATCAGAGGCCTTGCTGCTGGATGTAGTTTATCGTTATATCCAGGACGGGTGACTTTTGGGACACCCTGCATATATATATATATATATATATATATATATATATATATATATATATATATATATATATATAATAATTTAAAAATGATTTTTTTTTTTTGCCGTCTCGTTTCGTCTTTCGATTTATCAAGGCAAGCAATGAAAGCAAAATGTTTTGGCATATATATATATATATATATATATATATATATTTATATATATATATATATATATATATATATATATATAGAGAGAGAGAGAGAGAGAGAGAGAAATTAAAAAATAATAATGTTCTTTTATGAAAGTGTTTATTTATTTCTATATATATTTGATTTGATATTTCAGTTTGGCCTCTATCTTTCTTCAGAAATAACTGTCTGTTAGCAAGTAGCGTCCGTCACGAGATGCGGACGTCACGTGATATGGAACGCCACTGTGTTCGAATATTCCTGTAATAATATCTTAGATGTTGTTTAAAAAATTAAAAAATAAGAAATAATTTTTTTATCTATCTATCTATATATATATATATATATATATATATATATATATATATATATATATATATATATATATATATATATATATATATATATATATATATATATATATATATATATATATAGATAATATTAGTGGAAAATACACATTCTGATGATTTGGATCGTATTTACGGGTCTGATGATTTGGATCGTATTTACGATTCCAATGGAATAAATTTAGACCATGGAATATTAGTGTTTAAGCCTTTTTTATATATATATATATATATATATATATATATATATATATATATATATATATATATATATATATATATAAATTATACTATATGTATGTTATATCATCACTACGAAAATAGCCATTTTGTTTCAACATTTCGAGTGTCTTGTCAAGTGATGGTGTTGCAAGTAAAATAAAGAGTTCAAAAACAAACCATTATCCCCCCACCACTATGGGAAATATTATTACGTAATATGTAATGGTCAATCAAATGACAAGCATATGATAATTCAGGTAATTCGACGACGGATCTTAGATACAATATATTAATGCTTGAAAATAAGTCTTAGATTTTATAGGAAATCAGGATAAACGATTAATCGCCAATCTTTTGTAATGCAAAATGAAAGTTTTGCATATTAAGCTCTAAATGAAACCACGCATCCTGTTTAGAAATTAACAAAAATATTCATAGAAAAAAACGAAGATAATATGTGTAAAGTTTTATGCATTGGTCTTAGAAATGGGTTAAATTTTTCGTCCGATTCAGAGCGATGGTAAGAGGTATTAATATATGACTACGTAGTGAGTTACAATGATAAGGTAGTGATGACAGGTTTAGTTGACAAGAGGGAAAGCTTTATTTGTGGCTAGAAATTCATATATATATATATATATATATATATATATATATATATATATAAATATATATATATATATATATTATATATATATATATATATATATATATATAAATATATATATATATATATATATATATATATATATATATATATATATATATATATATATATATATATATATCATTCATACAAAAACAGATACAGAAGTTAATGATTTAAATGGCGAGAACATTTCTCGCCATTTAAATCATTAACTTCTATATCTGTTTTTTGTATGAATGTTTCTGTAATGTAAATTGAACAGCACCATACTTGATATATATATATATATATATATATATATATATATATATATATATATATATATATCAAGTATGTGGTGCAGTTCAATTTTGAATTTGTAGGTCTGATGAATTGGATCATATTTACGATTCCAATGGAATAAATTATGACCACGGCATATTAGTGTTTAAGTCTTTTTTATTATATATATATATATTACAATAAACGTGCAATCAATTTACAAATACATGAATTATTCACACAAAACTAATGCAAAGGTTAATGATTTTAAATGGCGAGACATCCATCTCGCAAACAATTCAAATATTACACAAAAACCTCAGATCCGTTATGAATGAATTGATCCTTGTTCATATAAATTTCTGCCGTATTAGTTGTTATTTTTACAAGCTTTCGTCTGTTCCTACAGACATCTTCAGGTATATAATAGATGTTGTTCTTGTTTTTTTCTCTTAGTAATAAGAGGACATCGAAAATATATGTGTATTGTATCCGAAATGCTATTGAAAATGAGATATTGGTTTTTGAACGCGCCAAAGCAACGCTAAGTTTGATTTTGAATTTTTTCTTTTTTTAAATGTTTGCGTTTATACCGAATATGGTAATGAACAAATTATTTTACTGGTAAATTTTACTGTCAAAGTGGCATGAACTATATTGTTCAATAATTACAGTAATGTCGCACTTATTAACCAAAAGTCGCACATGGATCAGATATTTAAATTACAATAAACGTGCAATCAATTTACAAATACATGAATTATTCACACAAAACTAATGCAAAGGTTAATGATTTTAAATGGCGAGACATCCATCTCGCAAACAATTCAAATATTACACAAAAACCTCAGATCCGTTATGAATGAATTGATCCTTGTTCATATAAATTTCTGCCGTATTAGTTGTTATTTTTACACAAGCTTTCGTCTGTTCCTACAGACATCTTCAGGTATATAATATAATATTACTAAGAGAAAAAAACAAGAACAACATCTATTATATACCTGAAGATGTCTGTAGGAACAGACGAAAGCTTGTGTAAAAATAACAACTAATACGGCAGAAATTTATATGAACATCCTTGTTCATATAAATTTCAATTTATTCATAACGGATCTGAGGTTTTTGTGTAATATTTGAATTGTTTGCGAGATGGATGTCTCGCCATTTAAAATCATTAACCTTTGCATTAGTTTTGTGTGAATAATTCATGTATATATATATATATATATATATATATATATATATATATATATATATATATATACAGACACACAAATGCCGGCACTCGTTGGATGAACACTTTGTAAGAAATGGAATTTCTTGGCTGCTAGTTAATGCTAAAAGCACTTCACTATGAATTGAGCCCTCTGCTAGCTGATAATGCTTATATCCCGTATATAATGCGTTAAAAATTCCCTTTCTCCGGTGTGTAAGCTGATGGCCTAATGGTGAGAATCTCCGACTGATGTTTTGATCCCGGGTTGAAGCAATCTCATGTGTAGCCACACTGATGAGCTCTGATACAGCGAAATAGTCTTTCTATGGATTATATATATATATATATATATATATATATATATATATATATATATGGGAGGTATTGTGATATGTCTTTGAAGCAATTCATGATGGTTTTATATTATGTTTCCATGAACACACTATATTCTGTTCTTGGAAAATGTTTGATTCCGATTGGAAATAAATTTGCATAAATTGGTCAGAGGATATTTACACAATATTTTATTTTACTTGAACTTGAACTCTGACCGCTTGCACTGCTGGTAATCTCATCACCGAATAGAAATGGTTGCAATGGTCGAGGTGGATCGTGGGCGACGCGGTTCTATGATATATTTTTTTTCATCTTATTTTATAGGGTTCATTTTCACACAGAAATTTCTGCGACTAAACGTAAACGCATATTTCAGAGCTGCACACGAATTTAACGAGCAAAGACGATAGCTGTGATCTGATTATCTGATGGCGTGATGTCAGCGGAGTGGGGAGAGTTAGATGGGACGGGATCAAACCCACCGAGCAAACTCGGCTACAACCCGGGGGACATAAAACAATGTCTACAGTCACCCGTCGATTAAGATCAGGGTGGAAAATCGACTTCAGATGTTTTGCGCGAGAAAGTTTGTTTGTTTTTTTTTTGTTTTTTTTAACAAATCTGGCAGAAGGCTATTCATTTTTATTTACTTATTTTAGAAGCATTCCATGCAAATGAAACACTACTGTCTTCCGAGCCAAAACGAAGAATCCGGCGACAGGTGCCCTTTGTGATAGGGAAAGGCATGCGTGGTAAGTTAACCCTTGGTTCTCATGGCTGTTTAATCATTCTTCGTCTTTTACGTGCCGTGTCACTTCAGGACGTGGGCGTTCATGGCATCCCAAAACATCCTACCCCTTGAATCACGAAGCAAGGATTATCCCATTAATATCCGTCTAACTCCCTGTTCTGCTTTCAGTTTACGCAAGCTTGTTAAGTAGATTGAGTATGGCTCTCCACAACTTCCTATGCTTTGCATCTCTAAGTAATATTTGTCTCCTTACTACCTATTATGGTAATTTACCCACGTACGCATGGACTCTCCCGGTTATAAATAGGAGCAGGTACTGCCTTTTGGGGAGGGAAGTGCCCAGCAGTCAGCTCTGACTGTCGGGCCAAACATTCTTGCTGTAACACTCTCGTGTGTATATGTTTGTATTACTGTTTCTGTTAATATATTTGTTTAACTCAATTCTTCTCTTTGTGTCTTTATTTCTGGCCCTAACAAGGCCACAACAAATAGATAGATAGATAGATAGATAGATAGATAGATAGATAGATAGATAGATAGATAGATAGATAGATGTGAACAGACTAAGAAATATATAGACAGATTGATAGATATATATAAACAGACTGATAGATAGATAGATAGATAGATAGATAGATAGATAGATAGATAGTGCTATGGTAATTTATCCACGTACGCATGGACTCTCCGAGCTATAAATAGGAGCAGGTACTGCCTTTTGGAGGTTGAAGTTTCCAGCAGTCAGCTCTGACAGTCGGGCCGAACATTCTTGCTGTAACACTCTCGTTTGTATATGATTGTATTACGGTTTTTGTTAATATATATCTTTACCTCAATTCCTCTCTTTATGTCTTTAATTCCTGCCCTAACAATGCCACAACACTATTCCGCCCGTCCCTTTACACAAGGTTGTTAGATTACACGATGTTTTCCTCTGTCCCTCTTGCTTTTCAGTATGCAAGTGACAAATTCACCAAGCCTTCTTTCCACATTACGTATTGCAGAAATTTCAACAGCCCCATTTTTTATTCTAAGTATCAGTGTCTTTTTTTATGCCTTTTTCCTTAAAACTTCCTTTTTGCTTCTATGGTGTTTTCAGTGTTGGACTGCATAGTTGTTACCACAAATCTCTCCTTCATCTGTGAGGAAATTGTCCATTATTCGCCGGCATATAAGAAGTTTTATATTAAATAAAATGTTCATTATTTTTTGGTATGGGTTGTTTCTTACGAAATTTTCCGTTTTGTAATACTTCGATTAGCTTCTGATTGGTATCTTTCTGGTCCTGGGTGAGACGATGAACTACATCCGGCAGCAAGACCTCTGATCAGTAGGTTTTTAGGAGCATGAAACCATCTCTTAATTGCTGTTGTTCCCAGTTCCACCCCGACCCGGGGCGATAGTACCTCTTAGGTTCCCAGCTATGGGCAAATAGTTAACCCCCAAACTGGTGGTCCTGGCTATGTCGATAAACTACATCCGGCATCAGGTAGGTGAAGCTCGACAGCCTGGGAAGGCAATTCACCTAGGGGAAGGAAAATCCTTATTTCAAACCTCCGCTGTCTTTCGGCTATATCCAGCCATAGAAAAGGCTTCAGGAGTAAAACACGAGAAAAAATGCGGAGACGGAATGCCTAAGGCAGTTTGCCGTTGCACCCATCCCGTTCTGGCAGCTCATGCGACGGAACTGGTCCCAAACTGGCTCGACCCTGTTGTTCCTTTGACCTCACCAGTGACGTGGAGAGGTGGGTGTACTACATGGGCAACAGACTGTCCTCCATATCACATCGCCCAGGCTTGCATCCGACTACAGCACACTGCAACAAAACAAGTATATTTCGTAATTCCGATGCGACTTCGGATTTCGGTGTCACATTTTTCATCGTCTGTTGTAACACTTCCAGTTTCTTTACTTACTTGATTCAATTCTCACATCTTCGGTTGGCGCTTTTGCTAACGACCATACGTTATGCGATTTCTTACAACTGATCCTTAGTCCTTTCATATCACTAGTATTGGGTATGACGATAAACTATAACCGGCAGCAAGGCCACTGATCAGGAGCTTTTGAGAAGCGTGGAACCACCTCGTAATTGCTGTTGTGTTCCCAGGTTCACCCTGACCCGGGGCGTTAGTACCTGTTAGGTTTCCAGCTAGGGGCAAATAGTTAACCCCCAAACTGGGTTCGTGGTAGTCCTGGGTATGACGATAAACTACAGCCGGCAGTAAGACCTCTGATCGAGAGATTGGATGTTTTGGGGTGGTTGGAACCACCTCTTAATTATTGTTGCTCCAAGATCCACCCTGACCCGAAATTGTAGCACCTGTTAGGATCACAGCTATGGGAAAATAGTGAATTCCCCCAAACAAAAACGAAACACGTAGTAAAAATACCAAAAAAAAACATTTTTTTATAGAAAACAAAAGACCATCATTACATATTTATAGTAAAAATACCAACAATACATTTTAAAGCAAAATGATCAGTGTTGTGTATGATACACCTAATTTACATAAGCGGACTACCGACCATATAAATATGGGTTGGTACCGGAAGACGGGGAAGATAGTAGAGATTAAGAAATTGAATCCAGAGACTCTGCCCGACTGCGATTTAGTCAACCCATTATGCAGGAACAGTCTTCCCAAGAATATACCAAACTAACTGTAAATATTGTGTACCTATTCTTTGTTTCAATACATTTTGTTAACGTACATTTTGTGTTGTATTATTCCATGCTTATTTAAGCTTCAACAATCAGCAATACTTTTTATAGCAGAATTGCCAAAAATACATTTTATAGCAAAATAACCAACAATTCATTTTACCTGTAGTTTATATTAAAGCATACAATTGAGCGAAAAATATATTTTAGTATTAGTCATAAAATTGTGTTCAAAATCTTTAGCTTTAGACATTAAATGACCCATGGATATTGATATGTCGCTAAACAAAATCAACCAACCAAGCGATCAATCAACCAACCAATCAATCAATCAACCAACCAAGCAATCAACCAGGTAAACAGCCAATCAACCAATCAACCATCCAGTCAACCAACCAACCAACCAACCAGTCAATCAACCAACCAAACATCCAGTCAACCAACCAACCAAACAATCAACCAACCCGCCAACCAGTCAACCAACAAACCAACTAACCAAACAATCAACCAATCAATCAATCAACCAACCAACCAGCCAGTCACGCAAACAAGCAAGCAAGCAATCAGCCTTTCTTTCCCTTTTCTTTACCATTTTGTATAAAAGTTCCGAAAGTTCTCTCTCTTTGTCAATCATCGATACGGTCTCATGTTATCTTACGTTGTTAAGATCGTGTGCGTCAATAATAATTCATTCTTGAACTTTTGAATCACTTAGGGTAGGCTTTCTCAAACTAAATAAATCCGGTGAGAATTCACTTTGTCTTAGGCCCTTTTCTTTTGGGGGTTGTTTAAATCGTTAAATGGCAAACAATTTGGTATCATAGATCCTATATACTGAATGGTGAGTTCGATTGTCTTGTAAGTAGCACTTCTGTGCCAAAACTAAGTTACTCTTATTAAATATCTATTCTTAATGCGTTTATTGGCGGACAGATATGCCCCCATCCACCGGCAAGAAATGCCTGGCCATCCTGTCCCCGCCGATTCCAGGCTAGAATCTGTCTTAAAAGCCACATTCGAACTCTTCGGAAGCACCAGATATAAACCCAGTTAACACGAAATTTACTTGAAACGTTGCAGATGTGTTCTAATTTGTTTGAAGTAACGTTGTGGCGTCGTTAGTGTATTTATTACCCTGGCCCCCGTACTGCCTGTTCATCCCCAACGTTGTCACAACAGTATTGTAATGTTGTGAAATGCTATAACTGAAAAATTCTGTACTGGCCAAATAACATTAGAATAAGTTTTCTTCAGTTAACAATAAGTGTAGAAGGTATCAAATTTCTTTTCGTTTTTTTTTTTTTTTTTGATTTTTTTAATTGAGAATCATTAATTTATTGAAACAAAACAAGTTCAGTTGACCACTGATAACAATTCCAGAACAACGAAACTATAAACAATTTTTTCTAACCTCTGCCAGCCGCAATGATGGAGAAAGCATGACCTCGAACCATCGCCAGTGAGACACGCTGCAAGAGCCACTCCGTTTCGCGAGGATCGTCCCTTAATCGAGACGCAATCGCGCCGATCCTCCGAAGGAACGCCATCGAACGAGGACCAATAACCCCTGAAGTCTCCACTGCCACAGGAGTAAAAAAAAATCTATCAGCAAGAGAAGAATATTTAACTATTTTTTTCATCTCTGCATCCCGGGCGACGGATCCTGGCTCAGCCGCGGACCTGATCAAATTACCAACCGAAAATGTATCCGCACAGGTCGCATCCCAAATCAACGACTTCCCCATTTTAAAAGGGAAAATGGTAATGCCATCCGGCCGCTTTTCATCACCACAGTCGAGGCCTACGGGTTCGATTTGGGAAGGGAACCCAGCTGCATCCAAACCTCTTTATTAATTTATATAATGAATAAACGTTCTAATATCTTCCTGGAATTGTATCTACTTTCGATTAATGTAATGTTATAAGGCGATGTATTTGCAAAATTTTGGGCACGTTGTCTGGGGTGGTCTACAAAAAACGTTTTTAAAACCTCTATCTAATATTGCAGAAACGTTGTAATAACACCATTTTTAACTGATTGAATGAGTTTTTTTATGGCTTATCAAAATCATCCAGGGTGTTTTTTAAATCCAACATATATTTTTAGATTGTAATAATTTTTTGGCGATAATAACGATTTACTGCTACAAGTCTTACTAATTAACCCATAGTTGTGGGGAGAGGAGATGGATTCATACCTTCCCCAAGTGCATTTGTGCGTAAATGAATATAAAGAACCTGAATTGGGACACGACTCTCCGATTTACAATGTCATTATATTATACATTACACCACCCGCACATCCAAGCTTACAACCAACGAAACAAACAACCGAGAAATCAACCAACCAGTCAATCAACCAACCAAGCAATCAACCAACCAAGCAATCAACCAACCCACCAACCAAACAGCCAACCAATCAACCTTCTTCTGATATTTCCTAGTTTTCTCTCTTTTTCTCTCTATCATCGATACAGTCTCTTGTTATGTTGTTAAGATTGTGTGTGTCAATAATAATTTTTTTTTAACCTAGCAAGATCTGTTGTCTTCGCTATAATCTTTTAAGAGTGACAGTCAGCAACTAAGACGATTATTGCTTACTACTGAGTAGTAAATTTTATACACACCGGGTTGCCATAATTATGTATTTGTGCCAAAAATTGGCTCCGTAAATGAAAACAACTACACATTCTCATACGTGTGTGTATGTATTCGTGTACCCATGTGAGATGATTTTTTTTTTAATTTTTACTTATTCATTTATCAATTTATGTAACGTATACTCCTTACTTTTTAATAAGGTATAGCAGAAAGAACTATTTGAACTACCAGGTTAGTCTTGATTGATTTGAGAACAATATTAGATAAATCAAGAACTTCCATCAGGAGAGGACCAACTGCAGACGAAGAACAAACGAATCCAAAGACAACACAAAAACGGACAGGGGCATAAAACAAGGATAAGTTTTTTCATCGGATTTAACCTTAAACTTCACAGTGGGGCCATCCTGAAA